TCGGAAGAGTTTAGGGAAGATGTGCACCTGTGGGGGGTTCTGCTTGGGCCATGCGCTGCTTCTGGAGATGCCTCCGTTGTTGCAGAGCGGGTCGGGAAGAGAATGATGGAGTTAGAACCGAAGTACCACCTGAGTTATGTGCTTCTGGGTAACATGTACAGAGCAATGGGTCGCCATGGTGATGCCCTCGAGATTCGGAACTTGATGGATGAAAGAGGGGTCGGGAAGACGCGTGGTCAGAGCTGGATTGAAGCTCATTAAGACAAAAACTACTTAAAACCGCATTACACATTCATTACAGAAATGGCTGGACAACATTAAACCGCCACAATTTTGTATCTAGGCTCACACAAATTCTTCTGTGTTCAATTTGCATTTGAGGATATGTAATGCTTTTGTTTCCTTCCTATGAGCACTAAGGAAAAATTTAGATTCCTATGGTTTGGAGAAAGAAATAAGAGTTAGCAGAGTTTGTGGCTCATTCGAGATTAACAACCTCAAACCACCTTACCACTGATTCAGTCTGTCTCATAGTGCGTGCATAAGGGTGGACCTTGTGGCTTCCTGCTTCATAGCTGCGGCTTTGCCACTGCCTCGGAAGTATGCGTATACTTGCTGCAGGGCAAAGGATCAAAATCCTCGTGGGTATTCAGAAAGCCGACAAGGTGAAGCAATGGTGTCAAGTAAATCTTAGAAACAAAGTTCCCTCACCTGAATGACCCAGATGCTGAGAAGTGATTCGACGCAGAAGAACCCGGCACCAATGAAATAGAGTATCTGCAATAATTGAAAAAAAAAAAGGGATAAAACCCCGATGAGATGCTCGCAAAGCCATGATCATGTATAGGTATAGCAGAGAAGGTTTTCACTTACCCCAACCACAAGATTACTAGTCATGAGTTCAATTGCCGGCAAGACACCTCTGTTCAGAGAATAAGCAGTGTAAGCATCAGTCCCCATCAAAAGTATAAGGCACCAAAACAAGGAACAAAAGAAGATGAAGGGTGCTAACTTACGCGAGAGACTTCCCTTCAAAGATGATGGGCGGAGCAACGGCAGCAAAGATGCAGAAACCAATGTGAAGCTGAAACGTAAAGTTGCTTTTACATTGCGACATGGAAGAACAACTATAATGCAGTGAAATCTACCATGAACGCGATGGTAATCTTTACCGAGTAAAAGAAGAAAAAGGTTCCGAACTTGAGGGCACTATCAGTCCTGCAATAGGCGTGAAGGGTAACACATGTATCACTGATGCTATGATTGATGTACGTAGTGCCAAAGCATGTTTAAGCACTCTTTTGAAGATTCATTCATTCCCCTACAAATGTGTGGAGATTAGTACCTTGTAGCTCGATAAAGAGGACGGTACCAAAACACGTAAGCTCCAGGGACACCGGAAATGAAATAGATGGATGAGAGGAGCCATATCGTCGGACCTGATCACGAGTCATGTTAGATCTTTAACCTTACATTGGAGGAGCGACAATATGATTCATGGAGCAACCAGAAACCTTCTCCCTTGATCCAAGCCGTGGTTACTGCCACAAAGTTCCACAAGAGACATCCTACCACACCTGCACGGTTCGCATTAAAAGTTCATCAACTATCTGACTTCTGCATGTCAGAAACCGACAAGATCTACTTCAGGACGTGACGTACCTAACAATGTGGTAAAGGCGACGTACTGGATCTTCTGTAAATGAATCGGTATCTCATTTGGAATGTCATGGTGAATGATGGGAAAGAACTCGGGCCAGTTCTTTTCTTCGATGACAACACCGGCTGCCGAATCACAGGTTAAGATATGTGATATGATCATAAAAGCCGATATATATTAGGAGATGCGCAAATGGTAAATAGATCATGTACATTGGGCTATTGCATCTTCTTTCCGTTTAAGTTCCTGCATAACAAGGTGAAGACAGAGCATTCAGAACAAGCACTTGCACATGTGGAATCATGCCAAAGACGTTTACATAAAATATCGTTTAAGAAGCACAAGACGACGAAGATAATCGATCAAGCTTCATGTAGGAAATCACCTGTTCCCTCCTCTTTAGTTCAGCTTCCTTAGCCTGGAGTTCCTTCTCTCTAGTTCGAAGATCCTTCAAGGAAAAAGCGAATCAGTTAACTCGGTTACACATTTCATCCGCCGGATCAAGCAGTCAAAGAAATATAATCGAGATGGTGTGGTAAGGGTATATAAACCTTTCCCAAATCGAGAGGGATGTCAACAGTGGCACCGCGATCATACGGTTCAGGTGGTAGCGGCTTCAGATACGCGTTTGCAGGAGGAACACTTGTAGCATTCTGCAAGATTGTAGGCACGCGTGTTATATTTGGTAATACGCAAGGATCATTCACCGGAAATTCGTCACCATGAAGATCGAATCCATGAAAATATCAAGTCAAACCATGACAGAGACGTATAATGCGTTGCGTATACAAGCTATCGAGAGCCGAGAAACAGAACTTACCGCGAAAGGATTGACCTCCTCGTCCGCAAACGGATTAGGATCGTGACGTGCCATGAGATCGGAATCGGATCGGAGGAACTATCAAATACGCTTCAAATTCAAGTTTCAGAAAGAGAAGATCGGAGCGGGAAGATGAAGGGCTTGGAAAGAGATGGAAAATGAGAGAAACGGTTCAACGACGGGTAAATGTAGTGAGCAAAACGAGAGGACTGATTTTTCTCGGGAGCGTTTGTTTCGCAGGAAAATCAACGAGAAAGAGAGAGAAAATGGTGAAAAAACAAACGACACTTGTGCGCGCGAGAGAGATGGGAAGGTCCCTTCCATAGTAGACTGATGGCCCCATTGCTAACGGCCTAACACGTTTCAACTGCTATTAATGGAGTTTAAATGCCTCCCTTTCATTCGGAAGGTTCCATTCCAACCTATTACAACAATCCACGATAACACAACATTACACACCACACAAAAATTAATGACATCCTACAACAGAGGAAGTATACAACTTCACATAAAGCCACGATCGCCGGTGAAAATCTTCCCCAAGAACTGAATCTGCGAAGCTAAGCAAGCGCATGATTCTTTTCCACAGCCAATTCACCAGAAACCGAAAAACGTTAAAGCCGTGGAATCAGCCAGGCTTATGATTCTCACCAGACAGAAGAGCTTCTGTTCTGTTGTTTCTGAGAACTCGAACTCCTCTGTCTACACGGTTCAGAAAGACCGACGCCTCTGAAGGAAAATTTCTGTACAAATCACTAGTCCCCGCTTGCCCCGCCTGACCCATGACGCTCTCTCCGTATCATGTCCATAAGATCTTGCACTACTTCAGACATCAGCGGTCTGAATTCTGGTTCAGACTGTCAGAGAAAGAAAAATAGTTTGATCAGATCAGACGTTTTCTCTATCTCTGTTTCTTGTTTTTTCGTAGTTTCTTAAACTGTGTGATATAGAAATAAAACCCGTTTTTTGTTTAATGAACTTTCATATTCTGGTCAAGATCAAGATCGTTGCCATGCTTTACCTGAACACACCGGGAGATTATATCAACGAAGTGCGACAAGGACTTTGCGGGGTATTTTCCGTTAATGGACGGGTCAACCATTCTGGTCAATGCATCGATATCGTGAAGCTGAGGGATTGCCCACCTAACCAAGAATTGCTCTCCTCTGTTCCGATCCCTGTAAGACAGATTATCGAGTCATGTAGAAGGATGTTTAGTTGAAAAACTGGATGTACAGACATGAACAGAACAATTACAAGACGCTTACTTGTCATAGGACTTTCGGCCAGTCAAGAGTTCCAGCATCACGACCCCGAAACTGTACACATCACTCTGCCATGTATAGATTCCTGTCTCAAATTCTGGAGCTCCATATCCGTAAGCAGCTAGAATCTGTCCTGACAACTGATGCAATGGAAGGGAGAGTTTTAGCTCTTAACACTTTTCGTGCAAAGTGAATGGAAATTGGGCTTTTTCGGGTTTCAACTTACCTGACTTACAGAGCCTGATGATATTAACGCGGCCAAACCACAATCTGAGACGCTTACACTCAGATCATCGTCAAGTAGAACATTAGCCGACTTGAAGTTTCTGTGCATGATAGGCGGGTCACACACCTCGTGCAAGTACCTTAAAACGTCAAAGAAATCATCACCCGGGTAGAAAATATGCAACGATTATTCAAATTTGAATTTGACGTAAACAAGTATTATTTCGGGGTTCAAATGAACTTACTCAAGAGCCCTAGCCGCCCCAAGTGCCATCTTAACACGGGTGCTCCAAGAAAGATTCTTCTTAAACTCGTCCTCCGAGTGTAACGCATCTTGGAGGGTACCATTATTGCAGTATTCGTAGATTAGAAGCCTTTGCCCATGTTCAGCACAGTAACCCACAAGTTCAACAATATTGGCATGTCGAATCCTATCAAGATTGTTCACTAGTTCGATAAATTCATAATCCTCTTGTTGCTCAGCAGCCCTCTTGTCCAGCTTCTTGACAGCGAGTAGCTGCCAGAAAAAAAAAACATCACAGAAGATTAAGATTCAGCTAACTGAAGATTAAGTTCAGCTAACTGAAGCATACCTTTCCATCGGGAAGTCTTGCCCTATAAACACTCCCGAGCATGCCAGAGCCAATAAGATTCTCCTGAGAGAAGCTGTCGGTATATTGTTGAAGAGATGCAATAGAATACTGCTTCACAGAAGTTAGGGGCAATCGTGTTTTCGGAGAAGGCTTCTTAGAGGGTACTTCAGGTGACGCAACCGGCATAACGGTGATCTTCTCAGCCAGAATAGGCGGTGGAGGTGGAGGTGGTGGAGGAGGAGGAGGTGGTGGTGGAGGGGGAGGATGCATCATTATGGAATAATCAATCTCACTCTCCTGTCTTAAAATTGGCGCTGGTCTTTGCACATTTCTCTCTTGCTCGTGTAAGAGCTTTGGCTCCTCCCCAGCTTTCGTGAATGCTTCTCTCTGAGCTGTTCACGAGTGAAAATCCAAGAATCAGTATTGATTAATAGTAGACTGTAAAACATGGCAGCAGGAAGTTGATTAAACCGAGATGAGGCAAGGTTTCACAATCATTCTACCTTTGTCGGGTTGGTTAGGTGGCAGGGCCGAAGACCCGTTTTCTGCAGCATTCTCTCTATTCCCTCTATAGGCACCTACTTGATGCCGCCTAAAGAGTTTGCTCGCATCTCTTCTTTGTCTGGCACATTTTGGCAGCAACAGCAGAATCGCCAATACGAGAATTATGAACGATAGGACCCCGGCAAAGGATATCAAGACTATCCGTCTAGTACGTGAAGAATTTGACTTTGACCCAGAGTTTGATGATCCTTGTGAAGCAGAAGGTCCATCAGCAGCTTTCCCGTGAGTTTCGCTGGAAGGTGTTGCAGGGGACGTCGGCCCTCCAGAAAACGGTCGTGTTGGAGATTTGGACGGTGGTGACGATGTAGTAGAGGAATTAAACGGGTTCCCTGCATTTCTACACCGGGAATAGCAAGAGCATTAGCTAAGCGCAAAAGCCATATCAGATTGTTAACATGCAGGGTAACAATGCAAAAACTGAGTACTATTTAGTACCGGAAATTCGGGATGTTGAGCAATTTTTCTGGTATGGGTCCAGAGAAGAGGTTATTCTCTATGTTCCTGTTCAAGACAATGTAAAACTGGAAAAATTACGACATCCGAAAATTATCATTGCTTAAGAATGGAGATATTTGTGGGAGAGAACATTACAAGTTCTGCAAGTGAAGGTCTTGAAGAACATCAAGAGTCCCAGAAAGCTGATTGTCCTGCACATGTCTGAGAACTCAGAAATCAGCTTCACGGCAAAAAAAAGAAAGAAAAAGAAAACAGATATGGAGAGAAATTCACTTTTGTGACATAACTATCTTACAAGGTAGTAAGAGTTGATAGATTTTCCATGGATGGAGGCAACGGTCCACTTAGATTGTTATTTGATAAATCTCTGCAATGAATATTTCATGTATCAGATCCAAAAACAAACCATAGACGAGATTGCACAGATGTAAACAACAAGCATACAGGTTGATCAGCCCGACAAGGTTTTGAAACACATCTGGTAACTCTCCAGAAAGAAGGTTTTCGTTCAGAGACCTGAGAACACATAGTATAGTTTTTAGCCAAAGAACACTTGGAAACAACATGAAGAGACAGGAGAAAGAAAAAGGACATAACCAGAACCTACATGTCAGAAAGAAGAACCAAAGATCCAAGAGATTCTGGAATACTTCCAGTGAACTTATTAGCTGAAAGAAAACTGCAAAGAAGGTAAAAGACCGTCAACAGCTCAAGCACCGAACATGACAAAAGCTTATGGTTTTACATTGATCAAGAAAGTACATACAAATGTTGCATGGAAGTAGGCAGACTAGAAGGTATGCTTCCACCAATCTGATTGTTGCTTAAATCTCTGATATAACCAAAAAAAAGAACATATAAATGTTACCAAGAAAGCTGAAAAGATTCACCGAAGAACTGAATCAAAGTATGTTTTATAAATCACCATAGACCCAGAATGCTTACATTGACTTGATAGAGGTGAACTTCCCCAAGTTATCACCGAGCTCCCCGCCCAAGTTAGCAGCGTTTATAACTCTGAAACCGGAAAGAGAAGACAACCGATCATAGAAGATAACCGAGAGATGATAAGGTATACCACGAGTCAGCGGAGAAAAACCCTTACATGCTAATTATCTCTGAACCGTTGCAGGAAACGCCTTGCCAGCCTTCACCACACGGATCTCCCCCAGAAGCAATCCACCCGGGTATGAGTGGTGAACCAAGTGCAATGTACAAGCCATTGATGGCAGAAACTGATTCAATCAGAACAACATTTGTCATTTCTCAGTGACTCCCAGTGAGAAAAGATGAAGAACAACATTGGTCGTTTCCGATCACCAAGGATTAAATCTAGCAGCAAAGTGGAATTCTGATCCTGAAATTTTCCTAGCAACCAAACAGATGGAAGAACCCGGAACAAAAATTGCCCACCATCACCAAGGTTAGTGAAAACAACTGACAAATCACAGCAATGCTGATTATTTCTCGCACATGGGTGCCCAGTATAACTCAATTAACAAACAAATGAATGAAGAAAACGCTGAGCAGTATGAGCAGATCTCCCCCGAAACTCAACTCTCATCTCAGTGGAAAAGAGTAAACAAAGCATGAAATCGCGATTTTCATTCTAAGATTTTCTCAGCGACCAAGCAGAAGGAGCGCGAAGAACCCTACCATCATCAGGGTTAGTCAAAGCCAAGGAGATTGACGGCGCCCAGATCAGCAGGAGAAGACAACAGATCTTAGGACCCTCATACTGTGTAATAGATCTCTTCTTATCCATTGGTCGCGACAACGATGAACAAAGCGGCTTATTTTAACCTTCCAAACCAACATTAATCGAACACGACCACTTCAAATCTGTCGACAGAACAAACAAACCCATCAAATCTGGCAGTAAAATAAAGATAACGAAAATGACAAGATCCATCCTTCACCAATCAATTGATCATCAGATTCACCAAGCAAGTTACGTACCCAGAAAAAAGAAAAGACAAGAAATGTAAAATCTTCAGAAGAAAATACTTGAAATCTCACTGGAAAGATAGAAGAAGCGTCATCAACGGTCTTAATGGCTGACGAACTAACGAAAAGTAGAAAGTCTTTAGCTTTAATTGCAAAGGCCAGAGAACGAAAAACAAAGAAAGAAACTTTTTTGTGTGGGTGAGATTAAGACGCAACGTACGAGCTAAGGTTCAATGAATTTCGGTGATGAAACAATGGGAATACGTACACCAATAATTTGACTCTGAGAAGCTCCTCAGCTCGAGAATATCAATGAACTGGGAAACCCACAAAAAAAAAAAAATCCTTTTTTTTTAAATTACGGGGAAACAGAAAGAAGAAAGTAGGACCGGAATCTGAAGAATTACAGAAAGGACTGGAGAGATGAAGAAACAGGTTGGGCCGTTGAGAAAAAGCTAATAGAGCAAGTGGTATTTCTGAAAATACCAAGAAACTGTGTTCATATTTATATAATATTAAATTGTAGAAACAAACGCTTATGGGCATGGAATCTTTGCTTTGTATGAGATCAGTCATTATGAAATTCGTGGACTTGATCAAACTGAAAACTATTTAGGTGTTAATGTACTCATTAGGGCAAAACCGTTATCTTCATTTCTTGCAAGTTCCACGGGGAGAGACTACGGGGATTGAGATTCTATTACATAAAGCAAACGGCTTTTTAATATGAACAAGATCTTGATGACAACCCCTGAGATTGTTAAAACAAATGGTAGACAGAAGATGTCTAGATCTTGAAATCAACTAAATAAGACAAAACTAATTGTTTGAAATCAACCATGATTCATTCGTTTTCATGAGATGAAATGATATCCATGTTTATAATTTATAAACACACTTAAATCTAGTGACTTGCCAAGAGAGAGAGAGAGAGAGAAAAACAACATGTCTTATCATCTTGACGAGGAATCTCTTGGAATGGCTACGCGCTTTGAAGGCGCGTGGAATAGAATAAACAGTAACTTTTGGTGGAAAGACAGCGAAACTATAGTGAATGACAAAATTAGCCGCAAGTTTTTTTTTTTTTTTTTTTTTTTTAGGGGAAAAAAAAAGAGTTTGGTTGGAATTGGGTTCCCACGGATATCTCGTTGGCGGGGATCACGTGTTGCAACTCCGACATCTGACGTCCACGTCTGCTCCTCATCCAACCCTATCCCATCCCACCATACAGTTAGCTCTAAAGAAGCAAAGTGTGATTTTTTTTTTTCAATTCGGTATATTTGTATGCATTATGATGCATAATCTGATGTTATAAAGTTTGGATTTTTGGACGACCCATGTGTTTTTACCTATCAAATTGAGAGAAAAAAAATATATGGGAAATGAATTACTAAGAACTATAAGTTATATATTTACGACCCATGAATTTATTTTGCCCTCATAAAGTGAGAGATGTGATTATGATTATCCTATCCATCCAAATTTCTTAACCAAAGGTGATGTTTATCCATTTATACATATAGTTTTTTAAAAAAATACGTTTTTTTATGTATTTACAATATTTTATTCAAACATATATTTTTTTTGTTTTTTTGTTTGACAAGGACATTCTATGTTTATCCAAATAAAATATATAAACACCACGGAATAGTTGGCTTAGTATAAGACATGGCATAGTTATCACATTCATAATTATGGTGTTCTTATGTTAGAAAATAATTATGACGGATCTAGCTAATGAACATTCTAATGATTAATTAAAAAATAAATAAATGAGGACCGATTATCATTGTTGATTAATTTAACCGAAAAATAATAGGAAAAGTAATTGATCATCTCGCAATAAAATCAGATTTTATTACCATGATATGTTATATCATAAGATAATATAATATTCCCAAAAAATTGTCCATGTCAAAAAATTATGCTTTTTCGCTCATTTCAGAAAAAGGTATGTAAAGAAACTGATGCAATTTGTCCAACGGAGACTCATAGACTAATGTGCCGATGATTCAATCTTTCAAATACAAATAAAAATTTATAAATGAAAAACAAAACAAATTTCTCTCATTTTATCTTCTTACAAGAAAATATAAGCAAAAAGGAAAAGAGAATATCTAAAAAAAAACCCATAAAACGTTATTACAAAGGGCAGGCTAATTGAGGCCCAACTATAAAGCCCAAACATGAGACATTTGGGCCCAAGCCCATTACGAAACAGGCCCCTTTCTGAAGACAATCCAACTTGCATCTTCTGTTACTGTTCCTTCACACTTCCAACTCGTTTCTCACAAGACTCAGTACCAACACCACATTCATGAGGCCGTATGAATAACAAAACAACGATGTATTCAGATCACAAATCCGAATTCGTTATTCGTTATTCGGATCCGGATAAATGAATAAGATGCATCCTGCAAAATCCAGTGTGACTATTAGAAGTCAGACTCAACTAAAGTCCTGTACTTTACCCGCCTCTTCACGCTCCCCATCCGTTCATAGCCAATGCCGATCCTGCTGTGCATCAGCTTCATCGCCAGATCTGATTTGCCCGATTTCCGCAAAGCATTGATCATCAAAGTACGGATCTTTCCCGGAATCTCTCTACCCCTTTCAGTGACCCCATCAGCCAGCTTGCAGGCCTCTTTTATCCGACCAGCTTTGCACAGAGTGTTGATCATGTCTTCAAACGCTGCCTCGGGAATAATACCCATCGGAGCTAACTCGTCCAGAATCTTGCAGGCCCTTGCCACCTTTCCGGACAGACAAAGACCTGTCGAGAGTACCCTGAAGCAGGCAGCCGTCGGGGTAATCCCTTTGTCGATCATCATGTCCCATAGCTTTAACGCCTCTTCGTTTCTGTGTTCCCGGAACATTCCGCCCATTAGTATCGTGTATGTATACACAGTCTGATCGCATCCTTCTTGCTCCATTCTCTTGAACAGAGCTAATGCTTCATCAACTCTCCCGGACTTGGCAAATGCGTCAATGAGAGCGTTATAACAGTATGAATCCCGTGTGCATCTCTTTTCGGCCATCTGTTCAAAAAGCCTCTCCGCTTCATCCACTCTACCGACCTTTCCTAACCCATCAATGAGGCTAGAATAAAACATCGAGTTGACAGCCAAACCATTACACTGGCAAGACTCGAAATACTCAAGAGCCTCATCTACTCTCCCACTTTTACACAAACCATTGACAACAACACCATAAGTTACCACGTCAGGTTGAAGACATTCATCCATCATTCTCCTGAATAGCCTTAGTGCATCTTCAATACTTCCACATTTTGCATATGCATCTATCAGCGCTGTGTATATAGCCACGTTTGGTTTAGCCCCCTTACGAATCATATTCTCGAAAACAGCAAATCCTTCATTCAATTTCCCCTCCTTGCAAAGCCCTCCAATTACTAAACTGTAAGCATGAGGCGGAATCTCAAGCCCCTTCTCATCCATTTCTTGATACAGGGCTACACAAGAATCAAAATCATTATCTGCATAGCAAGCCTGTATCATCGTCATAAACGTGATCTTATCTGGCTCCAGACCACTCGTTTCCATAGCTCTGAGTTTCTCCATAGCATTCTTGGTCTGCCCTGCCCGACAGTACCCTTTGATCATCGTGTTGTAAGTGACAACATCCGGTCTGATCCTGCCACTGTCCATAACCTCAAAGACACGCTCTGCAGACTCCATGAACATCGAGCTCACGAGTCCATTAACCAGAAAATTGTAAGTATACAAAGTGGGTTCGATCCCATTCTCTTTCATTCTACGCCACACCCACAGCAGCTCCTCCACCATCCCAAGAACACCAAAGCTCTTAATCAGAGAATTAGCGGCAGATACCGTCATTGTAATCTCCAGGTTTCTAATTTCACCACAGACAGACCTAATCCTGTCCAAATGGTTTGCAGATGACAAGACATCGATCAAGGAGACATAACACTCGAGCTTGTGCGCATACTTCTTCTGCCTACCAGCCCAATAAAAGAACCTCCAAGCGATATCGGATTTATCCCGAAGCTCCTCCGATTTCAACACGAAAGAAACGAAATTGGGCGATAGCTTAACAAGGAACTTGCGGCAGAAACCATCTAGATTGGATTCCATGGTGGTCGAACCATCGAGGAGGTTGATGACTTGGCTTACCCATGGGGAGATCTGGAGATCACGAGTTGTCTTCACCAAATCGGAGACGTCATTGAAGGGTTCTATCCACTCGGGAGGAGGAAGACCGGTGCTGCTGAAGACCCACCTAATGTTAGTCCTCGAGCACGATTGAGGCAAACGTTCCGAATCATCCCACGAAAATCCGCCATCTTTGTACGGAAAGAAAGACCGTGGTGAACTTCTCGGGTAGCGCACGAGGATCACAGAGAAGAACCTTCCTCCAATTCTTCTCATCGGCTCCTTCGTCAGGTTGCCGGAGTAGCGGCGAATGATTTATTGTCCACTATGATTGTCGATCATTTAAATAAATTTTCAGAATACAACAACCGGTTCCATGGTCTAGTGGTCAGGACATTGGACTCTGAATCCAATAGCCCGAGTTCAAATCTCGGTGGGACCTCTTTTTTTAATTTTTTCTCTCTTGCAGAAAAGTCAATGGCCCAATTGTGATGCTTAAGGCCCAAAGTTTATAACTCTTCAAAAGCCCATTTTACTCATTGGCTTGTTGGGTCAACGGCCCAATAGTTATGCTTTCGGCCCAAACTATACTCGAAAACCCCGAGTGACAGTCACTCAGTCAGCAACATGGACATGTACATTTGATGATCAAGATTCAAACCTCTTCTGCAAATTCATTACATCAAACAGAAGCAGAACTACACCAGAGCATAGCCAACTGAGCCCCCGGCAATGGCGTCCTCAGTTCACAATGCTCAGGGCGTTACGCTAACAAAACACACTTCATGTTTCACTTTCCTAAAACAGCATACAATCATGGTCTCAAGGCATCAGTTTCTCTTCCGAGAATCTCGGAAGCTGAACAAGGGAGTTCACCCTGGTAACACCTTCAAGTCCCGACCAGTTCTGTTCTTCTCCAGTTTTCTCCTCCTCCTCCTCTTCTGCATCATTTTCCGTCTGAATTCTCACGTAAGCATTGCTATCTTGGTCTGATCTGACAGTGAAGTTTCTCTGGAGACATGGCTCTGATCTCTGTCCATCGTCAGATTCTCCTGCATTGCCCGAATGATTGCTCTGAATTGTTGCAGAGGAGAACCCCTGCTCCTCATAATCCGACTCGACGTCCATCTTTCCGTCCAAAAACAAACACACCACTGCACAATCATCCATTTTCGAAGTCGGGTACTTGAGTTTCCATTCCCGTGCAGCTGCGTCCACCAGAATCCTAGCAGCTGATGCCCGGCTTGGAGACGTTGCCACGATCTCAACCACTTCTTCATTGCTCAATACATCCCAGACCTGTCGCAGCAACAAAGCCCGAATTAGTAAGCACTGTCTCCTGACATTGCAGAAGCACAGAGAATCTGGATCGATCACAACTTACTCCATCTGATGCAAGAACGATGAACTGATCTCTGTCTGTAAGAACCCGGTGAGAGAACTCGGGTATGGAGATGACTCCATACTCTTTCAGACAGAAATCACCGAATGCCCGGGCCATGGCTAGCCCAGGTGCATCATCAAACGGCAGCCAGACTCGTGGCACCTCTGGCTCATCTTGCAGCGCAAAGACCCGACCTTTACAGCGTTTGATCCTCTCAGCTTCCTCTGTCAGACCCAAACAGCCAATGCCCCGATCAGACAATGAAGAAAAAACACTAAGAGAAGAGCAAAGATCACACAAGTGGTAAGCATACTCGGTAAGTCAGGCTTCAGATCAACAGTTAACTGAATTGCCACCATCGAATCATTACTATCTTTGGATCCAAGGATTGCCCTCGAATCCCCAATGTTTCCCATGAAGAGACTGGACCCCTGAATGACCAATCAAAAGCAGCAGACAGATAGTTTAGTAGAAGGGGAAGACAGAGGAAACGGTTCGAAGAAAATAAAGAAATCTCTTGTTCTCCAGAATTGCCTGTTTCACAATTGTAACAGCCGTGCTGCCACTGCAGAAACAGTCAAGATTAGGATGAGATCTCAGCTCCTTGTCCATGGCCTTGAATGATTTCAAGAATGCTTCTCTCCACAAGCAACTCAGTTTATCCTCAGAAGATCCATCTACTTTCTCAGCTTCTGGGGCATCAGATTTACTTGAACTTCTTCCGAAACGAGATCCTCTAGATGTGTTTTGCTTTGACTGAAGTGAATGCAAGAACGACATCAACTTCACAGGCAATGCATCTCTCACTTTACGGGCAACAAGATGCCCATAAGGGCCATGACCATCAAACACACCACAGAAGGTCACATCCTCAGACATGAAATCCTACAAACAACAGCAAGATCCTATCATTACCAAATCCTATCCATATAGATTAAATGATCTTGATTTTGTTTATATCTACACACGTTCACATAGTGATCATTTTCTCCAGCGACAGGAAAGAGGAAAAACTCACTTCCCACACAATCATGGCATCCTGATTGATCCCCTTGCGCCCCTGCTGAGTGAAAATGCAAGAATTCCTGCTCTTCCCACTGGTGACAATCCGATTAGGGATACCAGCCAAGTTCTGCAATGAAATGATGTGGTCTGAAAATGTTCTCTTTGTCCGTCTGCTCCTGCAAAAACCGATTCCAAGACATGGCGGAGGCAATGGCTCTCCATTGCTCCTGCTACTGCAGGTGCTCTTGCTGCTAGTCGATACACAACCCCCCATTGTTGAAGCCTGTCCAGTCGAAGAACATAGGGTCCTGGATCCAATAACAAGACAAAGACTTCTCCTCCTTCGCCAAATACAGATCTCCAATGGAATGCCTTAGCTACACATCTGTTCAAGCTAAGATCTTTTCACCGGCTTTTTTATATTGAAAAATGTGGACAACCCTTCTCTTCAATTCGTGGTCAAAGATAATCCATTGGGATTATGAGCTGAGAAAACATTACAGATGCGGTTAATTGGATAGTTTATAGCTGTTTCAACGGAATCCATAGACAAGAAGACTCAACTAAGTCACAGAGAACAAGACCCAGCATGTGACCCTTGGCAATATAATATTACTAAAAGTAAATGTCCTTATTGTATTATATGTCATTGAACAGAGCTCACATTGAGAATTCTTTATTAATCTATTTCTGGTTTGGTCCCTAATCCTTGCGATTGATTAAAAAAAAGGACTTGAAGTGCTCGAAAGACATGAAAACAAGGATCATACTGAAACAGCCTAAGAATCAAGAACAGAAGAGTTTCCAAATATGCCTACTTACACATGAATCTAGACAGCTTTTGTGGAAATTCTCTTCGTTCTCAAGACTCTAAATTTCTTCTAGCGTCAAAACTTAGAGCTTTATTACCACCAAAGAAACCAGACCAGTATCAGAAGTAAGAACAGAGAGACAACGGCATATAATCATTATCCACATGGATCCTCTATGTCCTAAAGAGAAACAATACTTTATCAGAACGCTAAGTTGAAATCTCTGGCGACAAAGGAGATCTAACGCACAGGAACTGGAACTTTAAGAGTTAAACCTGAGCCCACATAACAAAAATGCGATGAGCAGACACCTGTATATACATACTTCTATACAAGGATATACTGAAATCAGACCCTCTAACGCCCAGAAAAGAAACCTAGTTCAGAAAACTCAGATTCCCTTAAATGCCTAGAACTGAGAGTTCGTGATTCTTGTCGTGGGTTTCTAAGTGGGTATCTCGTAAATTGCACGAGGAAATGGAACTACTGGTGAACAGAGACTAAACATAACAAAAAAAAAAAAGGAATTTACAGAGAAAAGCTCTTCGCTTTTGAGAAATTCAATGTAGCTAGATGGATACGGGAAGGTGGAACGAACTATCGTTTTCCCTTGAACTTTCTCGGAAACCGAACAAGTGGAGGAGATGTCTGAGCAGATCTCACGAACTCGAACCAGCAAAAGGCCGAAAAACCCACAGAGCGGGAAACCCAGAAAGAAAAACAAACAATTTGAGAGTAAAAAAAAAAAGAAACGAGGATTGGAAAACAAAGAGCGTACCTTTCGGGAGTTCTGGAAATCAAGAACAGTTCATTGACAGACAGAGTGTGGGAGTGAGAGAGAGAGAGAGATTGTGCAGTGTAGCTGTAGAGGTGATGGGTGATCTCATTAATTGAACAAAAAGCAGAGGGGAGAGAGAGAGTCTCCCCCGCAGATTTTTTTTTTTTTGGGAGCCAAGAAAATATCAAAGATTTATGCTTTGCGACTAACTTTCAAAATCTTGTGTTTATGGCAAGCTTTTGAACAAGGACATACGCCGAACTGGCCGGCTTTAGTTTCTCTTGATACACACACACGTGTGTTTATTTGGATTAGATATATAATAAAATGTCCTAATTATATGATCAGCAGCAATAACCGACCGTAATCTTAACTGTTATAAATTCTCTCTATGGTATATGATTTCAGTGCAAGAAAACAGTGTGGAAGTGGAAGCATGAGACTATTACTATGGAGTCTAAAAACGTTTTAGTCACACCGCTTATTAGAATGTCTGCGTGTATTATTATCACAGAACAAGACACAATGATTGGGATCCTACGAGGAATGACAAAGCTTTGTCTATGACACTATGTAATAATAATGATGACGGCCCCAATCCTTTTTCCATTGATTATGATCACTAACAGTACTATTAGTTTTGGATTTTGGATCAGGTCGGCATGATTTTTTCGGGTCTAAATAATCAAACCAAACTCGCCTCTATAGTTTTCGGGTTTGGATTTGCTCCGGATCAATCCGTTAAATTTGTTTTATAAAATTTATTTTTATTTTTGAAATTTTTAGTCGATCCAAAATGAGATCTTAACAACTCGAAAGTCCAAAAATTTTCTAGTCGAAATATTTAACCCCAAAACCTGCTATATTTTGAACTCAATCGAGTCGAACTTTAGACATCTAAGCAAAATTGACACCGCTAACTGTCATCATATATATATATATATATATGCCAATGATGAAAATTATGACTATAATGATGCTAATTAAAGTGACACGACAATCGAGGATTTTGATTGGCATTGCACCATGGATGTGTTCGTCCACTGACTTCCCCATCTTTCCTTCCTTTTTTTTTCTTAATTAAAATCACCATGAATTTATTTATTATTATTTTTGGTAAAAACGAACTTATATTTATTTACTCGAACATGAAAATTTACAACTATATACTTGATTCAAGCATAAATCACAATCAACACCTAGAAAAATGGGTTTAAACGACGACAATAAAATCTTATTTGCTATATTGTTTTCGAAAATTCCTGAAAACCGGTTCTGAATTTCAATTTGAATATTCTATAGTTTTTCAATAAACAATATTTTCAAAAAAATGTTTAACAAAAATCGATACTAGTTATCACTATAATTTCCAACAAATTCTACAAAACCTTAAAGACACTTTTGTATTCTGTTTTTGTTTTCAAAATGAGTTTGGTCCATTGATAGTTAGTTGGTTGGTTGGTTGGTGTCATGTAACATTATCTATAAATGTGTATCATTGAGTTCACAGTTTCCCTTGTTAGCACAGTGGACAAACATCATCACGGATTCCCCACTTGCCTTTTTTTCTCGCCACCAATTCGAAATAAATATATAAATAAATAAAATATCCTTTTCTTTTTTCACTTTTTCATTCTATAAAAAAGTCGGTCCATATGCAACTAAGATTTTATGATGATCAAACCATGAGATAATAAGTTGTAACTTGTACAGATATTACAATCGTTTCAACAAAATAGATTACGTCCTCGGTATCTGTGGTCCTAATGAATTTTCCATTGAGATTATAAAAAGAGGTTAATGACCATTACATAGACTAATGATTGAATGCTCTATAGTTGGATATAATACAATATTTTTACATGGGCTTTTTGGTTGTAACCTCGTGTTGGAAGAAAACGGAATGGCATCATCATAATCCCCATGTGTGGTGGTGGGTCGACATAAACATGGTATGCTCTATACATATATATATAATTTATCATACAACAATTTGTTTATGAAACTATATGTTATACAACTTTGACAAAAAAAAAAAAAGTTATGTTATACAATATACATATACAACCCGTATAAAACTTGGGCTATTTTAACCAAAAAAAAATGGGGCAATGTCAATGGTGGTGGCCTAAACCCAGTCGATATAATTGGGCTTTTGGGCTTTACAAACGTAAAAACTAGGGCCCAAAAATACAGTACTTTATTAAGCAATTAAAAAACTAAATTATTATAGAATGCGGGCCCCACAAGAGGATCTACGTCTGAGACATATCATTGAACACTTGGATCGTCCGTCTGATCCTTGAACTAGTCTCTGGATAAGACGATAAGGCCACGTGGCAGGTGCCCAACACTCCCAATACTAACAACTCACTGACTCACATCACACGTCACACTTTCGATCTTTCCCGACAATGGCCACGGTCACAGCGGCAACCCTCCTCACCCCCACTCCGCCGCTCAAACGTAACCACCTCCGCCGTCTTAACCGTCTCCGCCACCAGTTCTCCGCCTCCGCGACGCCAACACCAGCCACTCCCCCGCCGCGATTTCCTTTCTCTATCCCTCTCCTCCTCCGCGGCGGCTGTGCTGTTCTCACCGGAACCGGCGGCGGCGGCGGACGAAGAGTACGTGAAGGATACGGAGGAGGTGATAAGCAAGGTGAGGACAACGCTGACGATGGAGAAGAGCGATCCGAACGTAGCGGCGGCGGTGGCGGAGCTGAGGGAGGCGTCGAACTCGTGGGTGGCGAAGTATCGGAAAGAGAAGGCTCTGATCGGAAAAGCGTCGTTCCGGGACATTTACTCGGCGTTGAACGCCGTCTCCGGTCATTACATCAGCTTTGGTCCGACGGCTCCGGTCCCAGCGAAGAGGAAGACTCGCATCCTGGAGGAGATGGACACTGCTGAGAAGGCTCTATTGCGAGGGAGATGAGTATCAACAGTCTTCTTTTTTTTACTGATTAACGTGAGGTGAGTTTCACTGTCGGTTAATTTAATACGATGATATATAATCATTGAGACATTACAGAGATTTCACAACATCAAATTATTACCATTATGCCTTGCTTGGTAAAAATTGGTAAAAAAGTTCATATATGTATATATCTATCTATATATGTTGATTTCGATTAAGGAAATGCTTTCTATATATATGTATATCCAGTCTGCCTTTGTTGTTGGGAAACCATTTAAGGGATGATTAGAGACAGATATTTGAATAAATTAATCGAGTGTTTTGCATATACAAACCGATATAAATACATCTGCTTTAAGTGAATATCAAAGATTTTGATTTCGTTATTTTATATTACTAACCACACCCTAATTATCTTTTTCACCCACACTTTTTCGTGATGATATTTATTTCACGAAAATAAACCCTCATTTTAATTACCCATAGTACTACAATTAATTGATTTTATTTGTTTGATTGATTACATAAATAAAAAAAGATGCTGGGTTGTTGAAAAGTATCTACGTTCAAACATCGATATCGTTACGAAATTGGATGTCCCAAATAAAATTTTTAAATTTCATGTAACGATATATATGTCCACAGCATGCCACGTGTCGCTCAATGGTGGAAAAATCAAACAGGGTTGTTTTTTTTCCGAGGGCTGCTTCAGTGGTTATTAACTTATTATTCAGCCGATTTGACTGTGATACGTCACCGTTTTGGTGAAATAATGCGACGGAGTCCACGTCAATGACGTTTTACACGTGCCCCCTGCCCGTTAATTGTTACCCACCCCATCTATTTTAATTTTACCAAACCCAAAACTCTATTTTTTTTTTCATATTATAAATTATAAAATTGATTCAAATATTTCAAGTCGGTGTATTTGCTTCGGATGTTTTTAAATTTGGATGTAAATAGACAGAATTCGGATATTCAGCATGAAGTTTGAATAATTTCGCTAATAAACAAACTATAGCAAAAATAACCAATATGGGTGTAGTTTAACCGTTTAAACGTCTGTTTCACTTCGAATTCGAATCCCAGATCTGAAAAAATATTCACATGATTTTTTTCCGGTCACAGTATATCTGATTATAAAAAAAAAACTATGGCAAAAAATGAAGACATCATAGTGTAAAAGTCACGGAGGATTGATCCACATGGAATTAAATAAGAATTGAGTGGATATATATATCTATACATACATAGATACATTATAAGTATGTTAGTAAATGTGCTGAAATAGAAAATGAGGGAAATTAGCAAGAAATCATAGAAATTTTAATTTCCAGTGGGTGGGGATGGGAGCAGATAAAGACCAGGCCACGTGACGGTGGAGGATGACTGATTCATGAGAGCCGGGGGACGTGGAAATTAGGAAAATCTTTGATTTGGTGTTTACGCGCATTTAAATCTTTTCTGAAGAGATTAACTCCCAGAAATAGATCGATTTTTTTTTTGAGAAATCAAGAACAAGAAAGATTCTTGAGAGAGAGAGAGAGAGATCCCATGGGCTATATATAGTTCTGTCTCTGCTCTGTATCCCAGCACCGGTCCTTCTTTATCCTCTTTTTCGATAATTTTCCTGGAAAGTTTTGATTTTCCGGCAGTATTTGTCCCGCCGTGGAGTGTCGTCAGACAGCAGGAAGAACCCGTTGGGGTCTTCTTCTTTTTCCTTTCTTTCTTTTCTAGCATTTGGGTAATGATCGAGAAACATGAAGTGAACGGTTGCTTTTGTTTCTTCTGTTGGGTCTGGATTTTCCCGGCGCTTTCTCGTATTTTTCCTCATTTTCTCGCCTTCACCCAGTTTTCGATCACCGTGGTTTTGGTTTGATGGTCATAGATCTCGACGGGTGGCTTCGATTTCAGAGGTTCTGGAAAGAAGAACAAGACACGAGCATTTGTGCAACGATGTCTCGATCGTGAGGTTGTGTCTACTCAGAGTCGTGTCGGAGATGCGTTGTTTCAGGTTTTTGGATTTATCGTTTCCTATTTTTTGGTCGTAGAGAAAACAAACAAACCAACCGGGAAATCGGCTCTCACCGTAGAAAAAGACTTTTCTTTCTTCAGCAAGTAACTGAGGAGATTTCGGGTTTTTGCTTTTCCTTTTTTTTTTTCCTGTCCCTTTTTTTCCCCGTTTCCCTTAAATTCAGCTGTCCTAACGTCAAAGCTCAGACACTCGCTTGCGTGTCTCCTCCAAAATCCCCAAATCTCTCTCTCTCCCTTATTCTCTCTCTCTCTCTCTCTCTCTCTCTCTCTGTTTCTGTTTCTCGGCTCTTCTTCCTGAGAAGAGCTCATCTCTCTCTCTCTCCCCCTCCGTGTTAGAATCATGGTGTCTAATAAAGGGTCGGCGAAAAAATCGAACCTTGACCGGTTCCTCAATTGCACAACACCCGTGGTGCAATCACAATCTCTCCCCAAGGTCTGAAAATGCCCATCTCTGTTCGTCTGATTTCTCGTCTTTATCATCGATTTTCATCACGTGGGTAACGATTGTTTTACGGATTGCAGGCGGGGATTAGGAACCTGAACAGAATTTGGCATCCGTGCGAGAGAGAAAAGGTCGAGTATTTCAGATTGAGCGATCTTTGGGACTCTTACGATGAATGGAGCGCTTACGGAGCAGGCGTTCCCATTCGTTTGACCAATGGCGAGTCCTTGGTTCAATACTATGTTCCTTACCTCTCCGCCATCCAGATTTTCACTTCTCCTTCTTCCTTGATCCGTTTAAGGTATAATCAATCGTCCTTCCCTTCTGAAGGGATCGCATACTTGTCTCTGGGTTCCTGATGGGTCTCCGCTCTGTAAATTGCATTGCTTTAACGATGAATTCGTAATGTCTGAAACTGAGGGCATGAAGGGAATCTGTAGATGGTGATCTATTGCTTGTTGATGGGGCCCTTGGTTTATGGTCTGATTAGGGAGGAATCTGAATCTGGGTATTGTGAGACGAGGGATTCGATTAGCGACTATTCATGCAGCGAAGAGAGCGATAGCGATAAACAATGGAGAATGGATGGATCTTCAGCATCAGATGAGGGGCTCGAGCAAGATGCCATCTTCCATCCAAATGATCGTCTGGGTTATATTTATCTTCAATACTTCGAGAGATCGCCTCCTTATGCCCGAGTTCCTCTCATGGACAAGGTACCTTTGTGATCCGGGCAGTGTTCGTTTCTTAGGATACAAGTTACGAGTTTGAGAAAAACCGAAACTTGTTTATACGTCGGATTTTTGCTGTGCAGATCAACGAGCTGGCGGAGAGATTTCCGGGTTTGATGTCGCTGAGAAGCGTGGATCTTTCGCCGGCGAGTTGGATGGCGGTGGCATGGTATCCCATCTATCATATCCCCATGGGAAGAACCATCAAAGACTTGTCCACATGTTTTCTCACTTATCACATCCTTTCCTCTTCTTTCCAAGGTTGTATTCACCGCCATGGCGAAATCTCCTTCGATATAATTGACTCGGGGCGATCGTTAGATTCCTGGTTTTATCGATATCTGATGTTTGGTTTCGCTTGCAGATATGGATTCGGACGATAACACCGAGGAGGACACGGCCCGAAAGGACGCCGACGAGATCTCGCTTGTACCGTTCGGGATGGCCACTTACAAGATGCAAGGCGATGTCTGGGTGTCGGAAGACGATCTCGGACACGACCAAGAGAGACTTGTGTCGCTTTCAAGCGTCGCGGATTCTTGGCTGAAACAGCTGAGGGTCCAACACCATGACTTCAACTACTTCTCCGGGATGTCCCGTCGTGGCTAACCACCTGATTTTCGAGCCCGAGCCGAAATCAGATTCCTCTGTCTCTGTTCTTGTTAGAATGTATATCCGGTTTAGTCGAGATGGGTTCGGTTTTATATTCTGAATTTCTGATACCTTCCGGATCGCGTTACCAGTGTCGACAAGCGTTTGTGTTTGTGGTCGCGGATTGCTTCAAACGCTAAACGCAGGCGTTTCGGTAAGAGCAGCGTTTTGAGTCTTTTTCAACCATGGAAACGCGGTGCTGAAGGGTGTTTTCGGATTTGTATAATAATATGGTGGGGAGGAGCATTTACTGGCAATGACGTTGGTTATTGTTTAAATGATCTTATCATGTTGTCATTAACCATATTAATCAGGGTTTTCCTAATTGAATAGAATCGTGAAAATGTGTATCCTTAAACTTTTGCTGTTTTTTTTTTATAAATAAATTGTGGGGCCTGATGGGTTTTTTTCCCCTAATCAATGCTTTGATTGGATTATTATTATGATATTACATGTCTGAAAATGGTAAACAAGTCTCTATGAATGGTTATATAAATTAAAAATGGTGGACCGTCTTGGTGGATTCAATCAATCATCTCTATTCAAGACAAAAGTCAAATCAGTGGGACGAACAAAAAAAAATCAAATGTCATTGACTTTAGGAAGAACATAATTTATATTTTTTTCCCAGCCTCATAAACGAAACTCTCTTTAAATTAAATGCAGCGATATCGCAATCTTAATTTAGACTTTAGAAGATCATCGTCTAGGAAAAAAAGAAAAGAAAAGCAGAAGCAATTTTGTATAAGCAACGTGTTCGGTCGGGTTGAAAATTTTAGTTGGGAAGTGCATTTATGTTCGGATATAAGAATCCGAGTCGTTATAATATTTTATGAATAAAAAATAAATCTAAATCCGAAAAATTAGTAAATAAAATTATACATATTTACTAATTTAGGGATTTTATTCCTATTTTCCCCCGATAACAGAAATCAATAAATGTTTTTATGTAAGATAAAAACGATGGTTTGATTAATTCAGACCAAAGTTACTCTTGCGAAGCATATAATCGTTCAAATGTAATATATATATATATATATGGACACATAAGGATGAATAGAATTAGTAATGAGATTATTAGAGAGAAAATATGTGTAACAGAAGTTAAGAGAGAGACGTTTAAAATAGTTTGGACATGTATAACGTAGGTCGACGAATGTGCCGGTTAGAAAAATGGAGAGTATAAGAATGAGGGTGAAGAGAAAGAGAAAGGGGGTAGACCTAGGCTTATTTATAAACGTGTAATTAATAACGATTTGGATTTGTTACATATTCCGAAAGAGCTAACGTAAAACCAAAATGAATAAAAAACGAAGAATTTATGAGACCGATTCCAAATAAATTTGGGACTAAGACAATGTTAATGTTATTTGTGTATATATATATATAGCGAAGATAGAACCAGTAACCATATATATAGAAAGATGTAATAAAGAGTTCAACAACCAACAAAGGATTTTTTTTTTGTTATCACAAACGAAAAAGAAAGTCGAGAAGTGGGGGATGTTTAGTGTTTCAAGTATCAACTAAAAAACCCAATTTAGTTATCATGACGAAAAAACCATTTGGGTTGCCATTTGTCATCTCCACAAACACGAGCTCCAACAACAACATTATCCATAAAGCTGATGATGACTTGCATCATCCATTCCTATATGAAAAAAAATTAGATGATATGATCCACTTTGACACTTTCTACTTGGAAGTACGATCAGCAACGTATCGAAAATCCGGTCCCACGTATCTTGATGTGATCTGTGAGTTTGTTTAGGTTAAGTAATTATCATATCTTCAAGATTTAAATCCGTCCGTCTACTTTTTATGTTTTATTTTGCGATTGGGCCTGAAGCCGTAAATTGCTGATTTCTTGCTTGTCCATACAACATTGGATTGGATGTATGAAAGTCCATAAAAGGGGCCTTGAAATGAGAAAAATGCGGTGAGCGTGGATCGAACACGCGACCTTCAGATCTTCAGTCTGACGCTCTCCCAACTGAGCTATCCCCGCTATGCTCACTGATGGATTACAGTTGTCATTACAGAGATTAGAAGATCATGTACATCGCTATCCATGCTAAGATATTAGTTAACCAAAAAAAAAAAAAAAAAGCTAAGATATGGAAACTAGAAAGCAAAACCTTCTGAACAGAACCACCTTCAAACCTTGAATGAGGGATCATTCCTCAATCTTGGGGTTGCACCAGCGGCAAACAGGCCGCATAATCGTCATCACCACCATGCTTCCATTCGGCAAAGAACACCAAAAATGAATAGGGATAGCGAAGCACGTGGCGGAAGAGGAAGGGCCTCAAAGTGTAAGGCGAAATATAAGGGATGGTGATAGCGAGGAGAGTCATGACATAGAAGGATCCCGGGCCTTGAAATGAGAAAAATGCGGTGAGCGTGGATCGAACACGCGACCTTCAGATCTTCAGTCTGACGCTCTCCCAACTGAGCTATCCCCGCTATGCTCACTGATGGATTACAGTTGTCATTACAGAGATTAGAAGATCATGTACATCGCTATCCATGCTAAGATATTAGTTAACCAAAAAAAAAAAAAAAAAGCTAAGATATGGAAACTAGAAAGCAAAACCTTCTGAACAGAACCACCTTCAAACCTTGAATGAGGGATCATTCCTCAATCTTGGGGTTGCACCAGCGGCAAACAGGCCGCATAATCGTCATCACCACCATGCTTCCATTCGGCAAAGAACACCAAAAATGAATAGGGATAGCGAAGCACGTGGCGGAAGAGGAAGGGCCTCAAAGTGTAAGGCGAAATATAAGGGATGGTGATAGCGAGGAGAGTCATGACATAGAAGGATCCCGAGGTCAGAACAAATACGGATAGCCACCAACGGTGGGCACCTCTGTTCCTCTATCATACATCATCAGAGACATGTATACTGTCTGTCATGCTCGAAAGATGATGACTTAGGTTTTCTAGAAGTCGTTTGCACCCAATCTGAGCTTATTCCTCACCTAAGTAGTAAGAAATCATTGATCAAGCAAGCACAGTCTCGGAGTACCTGGATATTTTGATGTCAGGAGCTCATGTCTCTGTTTAGCTACAGACATCTTAAACTAACAACCAATATTATATTGAATTTTCCGCTTGACTTGCGGAGGAATGTCGATGATGGTGACCGTGTATATCATATTCTTGTCCAACTGATCTCAGAAGAAGAAAAGAAAAGAAGTCAACAGGCGACTTCTTCAGCGGTTGCAGTATTAGGATCCTAAAAGGGACTTTCGCAGGCTCTTCGGAATCGATAGAGCCATTTACCAAACCCTAGTCAACAACAACAAAAATAATCTGAAAATTGGAAGTTGAACTTTCGTAGAAGCCATCGAGCAATTTCATTCTTATGGATTCAGTCAAACAAGCAAGAGAGTTTACCTCGAAGTTTGAAAAAGGCAGCGACCGGAGAAGGTAAAGGAAGCGGCTGATGCACCGGAGAATTCGAATGCGGTGGCGGATATGCCCTCACCGGCGGAAGAGGCAATCGGTTGAGCCGATGACGCCATCTCCGCCGAGCGGGTTCGAAAATTTTTTGTTGGACCGGTGAAGAAGGTTACAGTATGGGCAGCACGCATAGGAATTCTTCCAAGCACTTGAGCTAAACGGCGACGTATGAGTCCCCGGATGGCAGATGTTATTCAAGAAATATGCCGAAAAAAACCCTGAATCATGACTTGTGTGGTCCCATTAGTTAAGATGACGTCATCATCATCTTTGTCTCGTAAATCCTTAATTTCGGTCACGAGTCATCATCATCGCCATGTCAGACTTCGGCCATGGATCTTAACGAAATCTCGTATGGGGTCATGTTATGGGCTTATAGCCCGATGATAGTTGGGCCTTGATCGCTTGTTTTGGGCTGGAGCTAGACGATAACAACGCATGTGAATTGTAAACAAATTAACCAAATAAAAAATATTTATTTAAAAATTACTACTTTTAAAAAAAAAAAATTAAGATCAAAAGTTAAAACGACGAAACACTAAATCGAACCGATATCAAAATCTTTACAAAATCGAAACTTGAAATAACCCAACCAAAACACAAAATGGCACCGGAAAACCTAATGAAAACATTAAATTTTCGGGCTTATTATACGCACTTGGGCTACAAGAGTGAACGGGTTTCAACTCATATTCATCATCTCAAACCAACGATACCAACTTAGCTATACAATCTGACACAACCCAGATTTCGCATGGTTGCTGATTACGATTTCTTTCTTACACAATGTACACTTCTCGTCTTGTCTTCCTCACCCATATGGCCATATGAACATGACGACGAGTACGAGTACGAGTACGACCACAACCATAATCTAAAACAAAAGCAGACACAGAACTACACAACACATCAAGAAGAAGCATACTCTGCTCAGTGATGTGTCTGTCTGCATCATCTGCCTTCTCATTCTCGGCCCGCTGGTCCCTACGAGGTTATACGCGTCCGGGTATGCCAACGTATCCGTAACCCGTGTCCCAAACAACCTCGTCGACACCATTTCTCCAAACATCACTATGACAGGGTCTAGAACCATGGAGTATGACAAGCTGCCCGAGCTCAGAACCGGTGAGTAGTGCCCATGTTGTGGAAACCGCAGATTGACACTGGAATGTGGTGAATTTGGTCTCTCAATCCTGTAAGCTGGGCCTATGGGTCTTCTGGGCATTGAAATTCTTCGTTCGTCCTCGGTTATGGAACGGCCTCGGCCATATAGTGGGACCAATGTTCCGTAAGAGACTTCAGATTTGCAGACAGGACAGTGGTTATGTCTCTGGTGTTCGTCGCTGGTGGAGATGGTATGCAGATGAAGCCACTTGTGAATGCATGGCCAGCAGAAGAGGTGGCCGCAGAGTGTGACAACAGGTTCCCGCACAGAGTCTAGGCAAATGTTGCAGTCGAAGTTACCATCCTCTTCAGAAACCGAAACCAAATTCGAATGGGATTCCCTGTTCTTGGCAGAGAATGCACCATCCTTGTCAAAGTTGCCAGGCAAACCAGCTTCTTCAAAGTACTGATCCATGGCCATTAGGAGAGGTGTACCGGTGGGGAAAATGACTAAAGATGGCTGCCAACAACAACAAAAGATTAGAATCAATGAGGGAAACTAGAGGTTTGATGACAGATTTAAAACCAAGCATACAAGATCATAAACCGGTAGATCCGTCATATTTGTGGTTCAGTGCTGGTGAGTATTAGGTCAATCATAAACTTGTGAAGGCAAGAACGTCCGAAACCCTATAACCATAAGGTTCATATGCATATATCTCACCAATCCAACACCAGAAGAACCCTAAAATTCCGAGATGGAAACTTCAAGAACATCACTGGCAATATAGTCTTCATAATCATCACAGACATAACTAAACATGTGAACACGATCCCTGATTCTCTTCTAAACTCCGAATTACGTAACACAGGGAATCGAGAGAACTTCTGATTCAGCAAAACAGCAAAAGGTACAGATTATCGCCATAAGCCTAAACCCTGGGATATTAGAAGCTCTTCGAAAGCGAGATCCTGTATCGATCAAGGTAAAAGTAACGTCATAACTCCCCTAGATTGAAACGGATATCGCTCCACTGTTCTTCAAATCAAGTTCAACCGCAAAAATAAACAAATCTATCAATTCCCAGCAGAAAAAAGCGAGAGAGAAAAAATCTGAACACCGACTTAGCAGAAGCGCCTTTCCGAGAAACTTCAAATAGAAATTCAAACATTAGGTGAAACGAGCAGAAGAAACGCAGATGACCCGACGAGCCGCCGATGAAGAGTTAGAGATACATAATCTATACCTACACACACGCGCGCGTGCGCATATATATATATATATATATAGATAGAGAGAGAGAGAGAGAGAGATAAAGAGACGAACGAGATTCCCGGGCACCTACCAGACAGGCGGCGGAGTTTGCGTGAAGGCCTCGTCACAGTATTGATGGCTGAGAGAAGTGGAACTTCAGAGAAGAAGAGGGAGAGTTCGGATAATGAGAAAGGCGGAGAGAAAATCTGCGTACAGAAGCGATGAAGGAAAGGGATTTGCAATTGCATAAATCAAATATATATATATATATATATATATATATTTTTTCTTTCTTCTCTGAGAAATGATATAATATATATACACACACTTCGACCTTCGCAACGCAAACGCGACCTTTTCTGAATGACGTGGCGAAGCGTGGGACTCGCCGGTTACACTCTGCTTTTCCCTTTATCCTTTAAAAAAAACATTAGGAAATTAACAACACAGGAAAAAATAAGGTTTTTTGTATAAAATTAATTTTTAACTCACAGGTAAAATCTAAAACGTTTTTCGCATGAAAAACTAAAATATTTGAGACAGAAAATATAAAATATTTTAAATTGAATTAAATTGTAAAACAACTTGTATAGTACAATAGAGATTCCGAGTTGAATTACGTTTTTTATAAGATTATTATAGTATGTGATTTTTGATTACGTGACAAATATATTTATCATTCAGTTTTAATCATCCAAAATTATTATTATGTAAAATATCATGCCAAAGTTTGATGTTACATTTTATAGCTTCTAGTTCTTTTTTGTTAGAATTTTAAAACAATGGGCTATATTAATCAGTCAGATATTAATCTGGCATTTAAGGTAAATGATTTATTGGAGGTGGAAACAAATGGCCAAGGTGGGCGCACCTAATCCTATATTAAATTATCAATCACGGAAAGTAAGTAAAAAAAAAAAACTTATCGTCTATTTTATATTTGCAACAACCAATATAACCGTAAACATAATTTTTTCAAGATAATATTTTCACGGATGAAACATAATTTTAACACAAGATTTTGTTTTGATAAATATCTATGGAAAAATCTCATCAATATTCTATCATATCCATATCCATATTTATTTAAAAACAAAATCTAATAGAATGAGATCCGACCAAAGATGGTCAAAGTAAACTTAGAAATTTCGAGGAGATCTAGTCGTTGTTCTCTTTTTTATCTTTTTGTAAATAGGGTTTAAAGTTGAAGCCGTGTTTAAATAATTATTTAAACTACATTTCTTAAATTTAATCATATTCACAATTTTTTAAATTAGAATAAAAAAGAGCGGACTTTAAGAAAGAATCTCCACTCATGGACCAATGGGCGATTTTCAACTTTTTTTTATTAGGGTTCATAAAGCATTTTACTATAAAAAAGAGGAGATTTATGAATTTAATATTTAATAATTAAGAAAAAGAGGAAAAAAGGAAGAAGGCAGATTGGGCGGACAAGGACTTATGAGAGGGAGGTTTAAACGCAGTTGCAGTTGCAGTTTCTTTTTCACGCTTCTCGACGTCCGAGACTGACAACCCCGACCTCCTCGTCTCTGTCACTATTTTTTTTTTATTAATGTTAATTCACATCAGTGGATGATTCTAATTGTTATATAATTTGTAAAATCCGACTGCTCCAAAATATTTTGGAAATTCACTTTTTTATTTTGATTAGCACAAATATTTCTATATATCTAAATTGTATTCGAAAGTAATATTATAAAAGCAGTTAAATAAATTTATAGAAAAAAAATGGATAGAGCCTCCGTGAAGGCATCTAGAAACTTCTGGCAAATTTGGACCAAACTGGTCACCTCCTAATCACGTATCTAAACTGAAGTTTGGTACGGGAATGTGGGTGTGGCATCCTTATCAAATGATTGAGACCTTCTCCCCCTTTGCAATCAATCAATAAATCAATTAATTAATTAATTTAATCAAATCATATTTAAAGTATGATGATGACTTATCACAACAAACAGTTCTAATCCAAGTGGGGTCAGGGGCTAATGAATTCGTCCGACTTTGTCGCCGAGCTAAGTGTAAAGCTGAGAAGGCAGAGTGTCATTTCTGCCATACTATTGGGTATTGGCGTAGAAACTACAAACTCTACCTAGAAGATCTGAAGAAGAAACTTGCAGAAACTTCATCTTCAGGTATCTTCGTTTCTGTTATTATATCCCCTTTCCATGCATACGTTATAATATGTATGTATATAACCCTATACGATAAGGTTATTTAGTCCATAGCCAGTTGCTGCTGCAAGTGGATATCCCCACTTTGACTTCATCCAAGTTTTAAACGTTTGAAAAGGCTCGGATGGTCAACCATAACATAAATTAGACATAATCATATTATTATCATTATCATCATCCAAGTCTGAAAGATTAGTCGATAGTCACCGCCATTGAAGAGGGAAGAAGAAGAGCAGAGAGGAGGAGATACCTATAAGAAGAGCTGAGAGACGGAAAGGGGAGAAGAGACCTGACGGAGATATACTTCATTGCAAGAACTTGTCGATGCTGGCGGTAAGTGTTTGAATGGGTACAGCTCCGATGATGGTATCCTTCTTCTCGCCGTTGACGAAGATCATGATTGTCGGGATGCTTCTAACACCGTACTGGCTAGGCGTCGAAGGAGAATCGTCGGTGTTCAGTTTATAGAACTTGAATTTACCGGTGTACTGCTGAGCCAGTTGGTTCACGATAGGGTCGATCATTTTGCATGGTCCACACCAGGGCGCCCAGAAGTCCACCAGCACGGGTCCATCAGCCTTGAGAACTAGCGATTCCCACGTCGAGTCGGTGACGATTGGAACTGAAATTGCCAACGGTACAAAGCTTGGTATTAGAATTTCAACATAATGAAATTACAATCAAGGCGCATTAAGATAAGATTCGTGTCTGTGATTCAAAGTCAGCTTTCATGAAGGACAATGCTTCATATTTTAACCATGGATGAGTTGCTTGCTTCATCCTTCACGGTCACTCTAAACTAAACTACAATTGCCAGGTCTCTTACATATTTTTGTTTAAACAATTCATCATAGAGAACACAGGAGAATCCATTGCACAAACACCTATATATGGAGACAGGATTAAGGATCATGAATCCAGGCCAACTAAAGGATACAGATTCATGATTTAACCATATAAGTTATTTGCATAAATCCTTGGTAGTTCACTAATGATACCCTGGTCATGATCCACTTCCTGCTTTCTATTTACTCTACATAAGCATGATAAAGCAGTTGCTATCTGATGAAAAAACCCTTTACTTTCTCATCACGGTGTGTGCGATCCAAACAATGGAATAGATACCCAACAGTGTAACCATTTCATATTTCATTGGTAGCTCTTCTCAAGGACCATCCACAAAGCCAATACACAGACTACTATCATGCAATTCTATGAAAATGAAGAAACCCTAATTCACAAACTTGTGCAATTTTATTCAAAAGGCTGAACTCTGCTTCCCAAAGAAACCTCATACATTCTCTCAAAGTTGCTGTACATTTACAGGAATTCTTCTTCCAGGTTCACTTATTTGGTACCACTGAAAGCACACAAGTTTGAGCAGCTTACAAATTACTGATCATTAGCAAATATTTCGTGCAGAGAAACTGAATTCTCCCAATGGAAAACACTCCGCCCACGTCAATTTTGGGGACATTCACTGACCAACAACAACAAATTCGTTCGTACACTAAAATGACAGAAACAATAGCGAATCAGACAAAGAGGGAGAAGGGAGCAGGAACATACTGTCTGTAGCGGTGTCCTGAGCTTCACAGACGACGCCTCGTCGTTGTCGGGAAACCCTAGGACCCTTCAAGGTCAACGAAGCTGGAGAGAATAAGAGGCGGGTCCTTAAGCCTCCTGATTCCGGCAACACGCTGAACAACCGTCGAGCGGAGAGAGAAGCTCTCGGGGAGGATGAGAGCCTCATCTCCGGCCGGAGGGAAACCGGCGGTCGGGAGCTGCAGGTGAATGCCGCCATAGAAGAGAGAAGCTGAGGACGAGAGACTCTCCTGATTACAGATGCAATAGTATCCAGAAAAAAGGATAAGCCGAATTATTATTATTTTTTAGGTCATACAGATTCGTTTCCAGACATTTTAGATATCCTTTTTCTGTTTTGATCTCATATCATGGATCAGTGAAGCCAAGCCCAATGGGCCTAAGAGGTTCCATTTTATTGGGCCTTACTTTCACGAAAGCCCCAATAATCTAAAGCAAAAGCCCATGCATTAGCTTTTAGCCCTTTAGTTTGGCCCAATATATTATATGAGTCAAGAGTTTAATGGATTACTATTCTTGACCCTAAACAAACACCAATTATTAATTGGATTTAGATTTGAACTTAATGGGCTTAAATGGGCTTGGAGTTTAACCCATGTAATGAAACCTATTATTATTAGCCCATTCAACAGTGCTCTCCTAGAACTAATAGATTGGGCCAAGCCTAACTAGAAATATTTAATATATTAAATATTTTAATGGGCCAACCCGTGACAACTGTAATTATATATAACATAAAGCGGGCCTACTTGTTAATTGTTATAGAGAATAATCAAGTGAATTCCAAATAAAGTTTAATGTTAATATGCCCCATATTTTCCTGATATCTTAATGTATGGACCCTGCCACTCGTAAACCGATTGCACCATGTGCCCCCTTCAATAATGGACCCACAAACATTTACGCTCTTCGTTGACTTAACTACTTCGATCCTGACCTCCTTACTAAAAAAGAGTCCCAAAAAATTAAATTTTTAAAATTTTATATAAAAATATATAAATTTTGAATTTTTTATATAAATCTATAGAAATACGAAATTCAATTGATTTTTTGTGTGGTTGTATACGAATTTTTTAAAAATTTGTGTATTTTTATATAAACTTGTGTGGGTTTAATTTTACCACAAAAATCTCCATTTTGCATGAGTTTGGTTTGTTCTCAGATTAATTTTCCCCAATGTTTCTGTGTTTTGTCGGTCCTCATGACATAAATCTCTCTGTTATTATTAACGACAAAAAAAAAAAAAAGCTTTGAGTTCCTTTGATTTGTTCCTCTTTTTTTTTCCCGTAGATTATTAGACCTCGGAAAGAGCTGCCACGTGTCGAGAACCCATCAGAGCCAACGTGTTCGTCTTATATTTAGCAAAAGAAATGAAACTTCAAAATCATTGATCAATCATTTGATAATTCAACTTTGATTTTGATCCATCATCTTCCCTCCACTCTTTTGTTTTTCCATAATTGTTTATTCCTGTTTTGATCTCCCCTAGACGTCGAGGTCTCGAGCTTCCTATTCGATCCAGGTTTGGTCTCTCGACGGAAATGGAGGATCCTCTGATTGGTCGAGAGGGCATTGGAAGGCCTACGGATCGTATTTTCCGCAGATCAGAAGCCATCACTCATGGTTCTACCTTCCAAAAGGCCGCTGCTCTCGTCGATCTGGTTTTCATTCCATCATTTCACCTCTCTCTGGATTCCGGAAATTTCTATATATGGCTTTGATTTGTTCGGGTCTCGTTGTTTCATGCTCCGTTTCTTGGTTTACTATGGGTTCGTTTCTCTGCTTGAGGCCGAGTTCTGGGAGATTCGTTCATCTCTCGCTATCGGGGTCGAATCTTTCGCTTTTCGGTCGTGTAATTCAGTGAAATTTGTTCATGTTCCATGTGTATATGCTGGGGTTTACGGAAAACATGCCTAAAAGATGAATTAATGGGTCTTTTGAAACGATTCTGCCTATGTTCAAGGCCTTTCTGATGGAATCTTATAATAGACTAGTTTGGTTCAATTCGGTATATGAAGGCATTGTCTTCTTCTTTACGTTTGTTCCATCTGATTAGTGAAGCTTCTGCCTTTGTTCTCCATGAGGCTTGTGTGAAATGGAACGTGAAATCTCTCTCAAATGGGTTCTGAACCACTATTATGTCTCTCCTTTTTCTAAGGAGATTAGTAACGTTGCATCTGAAAATGTGGCTTACAGGCTGAAGATGGCATTGGTCTTCCCGAGGAAATACTCGACCAGTCGAGTTTCGAGGAGTCTGCTAAGTACTATTTCATCTTCACACGTCTGGACCTGATATGGTCTCTCAACTACTTTGCCCTGATTTGCCTTAACTTCTTCGAGGTCAGGCCTTACTATGTACTCTGTATCTTTCAACACGGGCTTATCTTGCACAAGTGAAGAGAAAAATCACGACTATAAATGGTGTTTCTCACTTGCAGAGACCATTGTGGTGTGATAAGAAACCTACACCTTCTTGCAGCGACAGAGATTACTACTACTTGGGCCAGTTACCATACTTGACCAATGCAGAAGCTGTTGTCTATGAGGCAAGTAGTTTATTTATGTCCCTTTAACTCGGTTTATTACCAAACTGTATCTGCTCTTCTGATGTTCTACTTGCGTGTTTGTGTCTGTTTGATGTGCTTCACTAGGTGATTACCCTTGTAATACTTCTTGTGCATACTTTCTTTCCAATCTCCTACGAAGGTTCCCAAATTTACTGGAAAAGTCGGCTGAACCTACTGAAGGTAAATTTCGCACAGGTTCCTTCACATTATTTTACTTCCTTATGTTGGACAGTAAGTGTAAAAATGGTTATTTTTCATCTACTTTGAAATCCCAGGTTGCTTGTGCAGTAGTTTTGGCTGTGGACGTGCTGGTAGATTTCCTTTACCTGTCTCCTTTGGCTTTTGATTTTCTCCCTTTTAGAATCGCGCCATATGTGAGAGTTCTGATATTCATCCTCAGCATAAGGTATTGAGAAATATTAGCTTCTTCTTTCAGCTACCAGTAACATAAATATACGTATCATATCTTTCAACAACGATGGACAATGACAAAACTCACACAAGCTATGACATTTTGCTCACAGATGCATTATTACATCTACTTGTACAGTTCTCGTCTATTCCAACAAACTTAAATTGATTTGAGTTTGTTCCAGGGAACTTCGAGACTGTCTTGTCCTTTTGGCTGGAATGCTTGGCACATATTTGAACATCTTGGTCAGTGATGATCTTCTAATCGACATGATTCACATTATTTTTATGAACTCGTGTCTATTGGCTTTCTGTATTTAATCCGAGTTCTTCAACCACAGGCTTTGTGGCTGTTGTTCCTTCTTTTCGCCAGTTGGATTGCTTATGTCATGTTCGAGGACACTCAACAAGGGCTCACCTTGTTCAATTCTTACAGTGCCACCCTTTACCAGATGTTCATTTTATTCACAACTTCCAACAACCCCGATGTCTGGATTCCGGCATACAAGTAAGTGTTAGGTGAAAACACGTTCATCATTCCTCTGTTTTCTTGTTTTGAGCTGCTTACAATAATCATACTGCTACTTTCTTTCTTTTTTCTTTTTTTTTCTGTTTGAAGGTCTTCACGCTGGTCTTCGTTGTTCTTCATTCTCTATGTCCTGATTGGTGTCTACTTTGTCACTAACTTGATTCTTGCCGTCGTATATGATAGTTTCAAAGAGCAGGTAGATTGTTCTTGTAATGATAATAGTTGCATGTTTTTGTGTTGCTTATGTAATAAAAAAACACAGCTAACTCTGTCGTGTCTCGTCTTCTTGTAGCTCACCAAACAAGTTTCAGGAATGGACCTTATGAAGAGAAGAATGCTGGAGAAAGCCTTTCACCTTATAGATAAAGACGTAAGTCCATCTATACACATACGATTCAATTCCATATTCTGCTTCATTTGTTATGTGGTGTTTTAACAGAACACAGGGGCCATTGATAAGGAGAAATGTATTCTGCTCTTTGAAGCATTGACTAACTACAGGTACTTCGATTTATTACAGAAGATGTGTTATTGTTTTTTTCCTCTCGGCCCTTTCTTGTTTTTTCTTCTGTTGGATCAATCTGCGTTCTTGCTGTCTTGTTTTCAGGACTTTGCCAAAAATATCAAAAGAAGAATTTGGATTGATATTTGATGAGCTCGACGACACTCGTGACTTCAAGGTGTTACTTATAACTCTACAGATGGGTTCTTACTTGTTGTAGATAGTTAGGGGCTAACTTAAAGATTTCCATCCATCCAAACGCTTCTGTTCTTCTCAATTTCTCTCCGGTTTTCATAGATAAACAAGGATGAGTTTGCCGACCTTTGCCACGCCATTGCACTAAGATTCCAAAAGGAGGAAGTCGTAAGTCCACCTTTTATTTATCTTTCTGTTCTTCTTTAATTTATCTATCGCCACAATTTGTTTTATATATATGGTCCTGTGTTTTACCATTGCAGCCATCTCTATTTGAAAACCTCCCTCAAATTTACCACTCACCCATCTCGAAACAGCTGAGAGCCTTTGTTCGAAGCCCGTACTTTGGATACGTTGTTTCATTCATCCTCGTCTTGAATCTGATAGCCGTCATTGTGGAGACAACGGTATGTCTCTTGTCCCCGTAGAATGTATTTCCTTGACTGGGAAAATTCTTGTTTTGCGTAAGACCATACTCGTTTTATGCAGCTTGATATCCAAGAAAGCTCTGCTCAGAAGACATGGCAGGTCGTTGAATTTGTCTTTGGTAAGAAATTGAACTGACTCTTACTCTTCCTCATGTCGTCCATACATTATCGATGATCTCTCAGCAATATCCAATTTAGAATCTATGATCTTGTCATCATTCATTCTGACAGTTGAGAGGATGAAGAACAAGAAACCAGGCTATTTAACGCGTTAGAGGATTCACTGTCAGTGCACACTGCATTTCCGACCGTATCGACTATTTCCAGGAGTTTATTTTTGGTCTTAATGTTGCATAGGTTGGATATATGTGCTGGAGATGGCTTTGAAGATATATTCATATGGATTCGAGAACTATTGGAGGGATGGTCAAAATCGCTTTGATTTTATTGTCACATGGGTCATAGGTAACTTGACCAGATTCATCTTTTTTTGTTTCTGGTCACGTAACCGACGGTTTTGCTATAACCGATTATCTTTTTTTCCGATCAGTTATCGGAGAAACGCTCACCTTTGTAACCCCAGATGAGAACACTTTCTTCTCGAATGGAGAATGGTGAGGAACATTTATTTACAACACTTTCATTACATTAGGAACCTACAAAAAAATCTCTGACATTGTTTATGTTCTGTCATTGACAGGATCCGGTATCTTCTCCTTGCAAGAATGTTAAGACTGATAAGGCTGCTAATGTACGTCCAACGCTACCGAGCTTTTATTGCAACGTTCATTACACTCGTTCCAAGCTTGATGCCATATCTAGGGACCATATTCTGCATTCTGTGTGTCTACTGCTCTATCGGCCTTCAGGTAATCTGATCATATGAAAAATAACTTCCCTCTTCGTCTCTTTTCTTCCCTTACTTTGTCTTGTTCTATCATGCATCTGCCAAGATCAGAAATGGATTTCTCTGTTTTCCTTAAGTGTTTTGTTCTCATACCTGAAAATGAAAATTCTTTTCTTTTTTTTTATATGGTCTTAGATCTTTGGTGGGATCGTGAACGCTGGAAACAAACAAGTAGCAACAACCGATATGGCCGAGAATGAGTATCCTTTTTTTTCCGGCTAAATTAATGGCATTCGCCTGGACCGAACATTTCTCTCTTTGTAGGAATCTTCGTTCCAAATGGTTGTTAGTGAATCCGCTGCAGAGATAGCTATCTGCTTAGATGCCGGTTTTTCTTGACTAGACACAGTTATCTTCTGTTCAATTTCAATGACTACCCGAACGGGATGGTGACCCTCTTTAACCTGCTCGTTATGGGAAACTGGCAAGCCTGGATGGAGGTACCTTCTCCCGATTTCATCACCCCGACTTTCTTTTTTTCTTGTCTCTGCAACTTCAACTTCGAATATCGAGCTCTGGTGTATACTTCTTCTTCTTCTTCTTCACCAGAGTTACAGGCAGTTAACCGGGACATGGTGGAGCATTACGTATTTTATCAGTTTCTACATCATCACTGTTCTACTTCTATTGAATCTGGTAACATTTTCACTAACATTCATTACTCTGCTTGTTCATTCGATTTTCACCGCGTCCAACTTTAGTAACCCTTTTCCGTTCATGTGATTATTGTAGGTGGTGGCTTTCGTGTTGGAGGCGTTCTTCGCCGAGCTAGATCTTGAGGAAGCAGAAAAATGTCAAGGGAATACAGAGGTTGGTCTTACCCTTCTGCCATTTCACTCGTCATTCTACGATATATATATATATATACACACACACGTGTATATATACACGTTCTTGAAAGATTTGCTCCAGGGTGGGGTTATATTGCCACAAAAAAACCAGACATAACACCCATCTTCCTCTGCTCTTATTACACAAACTATTAGTGTATGGTTCAGTTCTGATCCGGAAGGAGTGCTTTGGCATAGATTCCGTGACTTGATTAATTCTTGGATTAGAACGTAAAACATGGAGGGTTATATATATAATTAATAGATGAATCATTGAGTTTGACCATGGGTTCTGATACAGGAGTCTGAAGAAAGGGGACAGAGACGCCGCTACTCAGGGTACGCTAATTAACATCGAATCCTTCATTACCTTCCAAGATTTACGTGAAGTTTCTGGTGTAAGTATATATATGGAATATGAATAATAAGCAATGTGTCTGGTGAAATCTGACAGAACGAAGAGCCGAAGCCAGAGGGTGGATGCGCTTCTTCATCACATGTTGGGTGAAGAACTCAACCAGACTCAGTGTTCCGCTGCTTGATCTCTCTCTCTCTCTCTCTCTCTCTCTGGTAAAAGCCTCAGATCTTTCATATTTGGGAATGTGGAGACTGGAGAGATTCTTGTTTCTGCCTTCGACTCGTCAATTTATAGAGAGGTCAGAATCCATATGTATAAAAAAAAAAACCGTGTGTACGAGTGAATGATAATTCTTGTGATTTTATTCACGTTTTCTTTATATTTTTGGGTCCGCCCGTCCACTTTTACAAGGGTAGGGGTATTTTGGTCTTTCTCAATCATAAATTAGTTTTCTTGTATTTTTTTTATCCGACTTTTGATCCAACTACATCTCTAACAAAACGAAAAATTTATATAAATATTTCTATCTAAATGGATATTCGAATTTAATCATTGGTTCACTTAAGAATTAATCACAAAACGACTATGCAATCCGTGGTATATGAAAACTCTCGACTGTGTCCTATTGTTAAAATTCAGAGTTGATATGCCGTGATCCATTTGCAAATATATCATTTTCTACACCATTTTATTTGTTTAATAATAATTATATTCCAAAATTTTCAAATGGTCAATCTAAATTAAGAACTGATACAATATATATAGTCGTTCTCTTGTAATATAATATTTCAAGTCATCAAAAGTCTGCCACCATAGGAAATTTAATTTGGTAGCCAATTGGTTAAATTCGTGACATTATAAATCATCAAAGTATAATTCGTTTTTTTCATGTGATGGAGATTATTATTAATTTATCAGGCTCATATGAAAGAAATGTTTGTAATATATTTGGTTATTATGAAAAAAAAAAGCTGAATAAAATCGAAACAATGGGGACAACATATTGAATTTTTTTTGAAACTTTTGACTGACGGTTGCGCGCAACAATCATAATTTGTTTCATTTATATCTTATATAGAGTTTTTTTTTTTTGTCTAATAAAGCGTAATTGTATGAATATAAAATATATAGGAGATATTTTCTATACAAATTTGTTGTGGTTGAACTGCCACGACGTCGACTGCATGAATAAATTGGTTTTCCTATCGTTCGCCCAAAAATCCGCTTTGGACTTTCAAATCATTAGGCTAATTTATTATCAATTTACATTTTTTTATATTTTTTTTTGTCATACACACACATATATGTATATACAGAGTGTGACATTAAAATAAATTCACAATTATCAGAATCATATGGCACGCAATTCAAATATATTAAATAGGCGGTTGCTGTGTATAAATCAACTGATCATGTTGGTAGATGCAAATTGAATGAAGGAAAGGATATTCAAAATCTCATAATTCTCAACAGTAGTAATTGCATAGATAAACAGATATTCTTATACTGTACTATTTTCTACATGGAATATATATATATACATGTAATGTTTTTGTGTATATATATAATTTTATGGAACTAGCATTTGTAAATCTACATTTTTTACACAAAGAATAAGTAAATTTAACGTTTTTGCCAACGGTGGTTAGTTGAACTGGTAAGTGGGTATGCGCAAAGAGTGCTTCATCCATGTTCGAATCCCACCCTTGACAAATCACATATTATAAAAAAAAAAGTAATGTTCTTCGAATAATATGTAAAACAATATAAATAGATTCAAAATTCTTTCTTGTCCAAGCCGACGTGCTGTTATGAGAGCCGAACAAATTAAAGAGTTACACAACAATAATGGCATCATTTTAATATATATATATATATATATATATATATATATGTGTGTGTGTGTATGTGTGTGTGTAAATACGTAATCAAAATTCAAATACGGAGAGTCAGACACATATTGTCAATCATGTGAAGCTGCCCGCAAACTATGAAAATTCCACATTGGACCGAATGCTCACATTTCTATTTATTAATGAATAACGTGTCTGTTCCTTTATTTATTTTATCCTAAAGTTCCAATTCCGAAACCGTGTCATTATGCCCACTGTATCCTATTATACATTAAAAGGAAAGAATCTAAATACACACGCTCTCTCTCTCTCTATATATATATATATGTATATATTATATACGTATTTTAGTCAATTGAATTTTGATTTCATATTTTAAGTCGATATTTAACCCCAAAAAAATTGTTAAATGGATTAAAAAATTTTAAATTAAAAAATAAAGGAGACGGAGATAAGATGAAATCTCTCTCCGTTGACCGGAGGCTCGGTTTGGCGGTTGAGTTGTTTACATACAGCAAGTGTACGTATTTATGTAGGTGTGTATGTATATGTGTTTATATACACGGTGTCTGTAATCAGTCAAATTATGCCAATCTGAAAGCGCAAAAAAGATCAGGGCCCAATCCCTTTGGCGTATATCTCTGTCCATCGCGCTTGATCATCATCGTCATCATCACTTGCTCTGAAACTTGTTCAAGGTAAGCCCTCTTCACCCCCCAAGTTCTGATTTTTTTTTTCATCGCACAATCCTCTTCGAATCGATCGGAAAGGCTTCCAACTCTTCGCCTGATCGATGTTTGCTTTTGGGTTTTAGGGTTTTACAGTGTTCCTCTGAAGAAAGCTTGATCGGGAGCTTCGTTTTGGTTGTGGTGAATTGGGTGTTCAAAACCTTTGCGTATGGAGATTTTCTTGGACGAGATGGGTTTTAGGGCAGCTTTTAGGGGGATCAAAGGTTTGAATTGTGCATAAAGGGTTTTTATTCTGCATATTCTTTTGCAAGTATGGGTTGCGTGAGTTCTAAGCAGAGAAAGAGGCCGCCGTCGCAGAAAGGGCAATCGGAGAAGCGTCCTTCAAGGATCAATTCATCGAGAAGGATTGATGATTTGAGCCAAACGAGGGCGGGAATCGACAGATCAGATAGCAGAGGTACCAAAGTTAGGTCGATCGGATCGGAAAAGTTCAGTTCATGTAGGTTTTCTGATAATCAAATCGAGAAAAAACCAGAGATCCATGGAGCAGGCGAGACCAATCAAGCGGTTCCTAAGGATTTGATGAAGGTCTCGAGCATTATTGTTCAACAGGGTTCCGAGACAGTTCCAGAGATTCCTGAAGCAGGTGATTCAGATCAAACGGTTCCTAAGGATTCGAGCAAGGCAACGAGCCTTGCCGTTCCTTCAGGCTTCGTGAATGTTACAAAGGACGCAGAACCGAAGCAAGTGGCTGGAGGGTGGCCGACATGGCTGGTCTCTGTGGCCGGAGAGGCACTTGTTGGATGGGTTCCACGCCGAGCCAGCACCTTCGAGAAACTGGAGAAAGTAAGCTTTTTTTTTTTAAAATAAAACTGTTCATCGTTGGGACGAGTTCTGTATGGATGTTATAATACCGTGATTTAACGTTGTTTTTTTCTCGGTTTTGGATGCAGATTGGACAAGGAACATACAGTAGTGTATACAGGGCTAGAGATCTTCTTCATAACAAGATTGTTGCACTGAAAAAAGTTCGGTTTGATCTCAATGATCTAGAGAGTGTCAAGTTTATGGCAAGAGAGATCATAATCTTGCGCAAGCTTGATCATCCGAACGTGATCAAATTGGAGGGCTTGATCACTGCCCCGTCTTCCTCAAGCCTTTACCTGGTTTTCGAGTATATGGAACACGACCTTGTAGGGCTTGCTTCTCTACCCGGTGTCAAGTTTTCAGAGCCTCAGGTACTGAATCAACTTGCTTCCTTTCTCTCTTTAATCAACTTGTTGTAGCTATCACTACTTTCCTTTCAAATCCAGCCTTTATTCTCTTCTGTTAGGTTAAATGTTACATGCAACAACTTCTAAGTGGGCTTGATCATTGTCACAGTCGCGGTGTTCTTCATCGTGATATAAAGGGCTCAAACCTACTGATTGACAGTAACGGGATCTTGAAGATAGCAGATTTCGGGCTGGCAACATTTTTCAATCCCGAGAACAACATTCCTTTGACTACCCGTGTTGTAACTCTTTGGTATCGACCCCCGGAACTTTTACTTGGAGCCGTTCATTATGGCATCGGGGTCGATCTCTGGAGCACGGGTTGTATATTCGGTGAATTATATGCTGGGAAACCGATTCTACCCGGAAAGACTGAGGTACATTGCATTCTTGAATTCGTTTCTTGTTAACAAGATATCGAAAATCTCTTCTTTTTTTACTCGCTTTGTAAAAATATTTCATCTTTCCAGGTAGAGCAACTTCATAAGATATTCAAGCTATGTGGTTCACCAAAGGAAGATTACTGGAGAAAACTGAAGCTACCACCTTCAACTGCTTTCAAACCCGCACTTCCATATGGAAGGCGCATTACTGAAATGTATAAGGATTTCCCTGCAACTGTTCTTTCGCTTCTGGATACCTTACTCTCCATAGATCCTGATCGGCGTGGCTCTGCAGCTACTGCTCTTGAGAGTGAGGTGCTGGATTTAATAAGTTTCCCTCTGTTTGATGTTGCCTTTTTTTTCTGTGATCATCAATGGCTGACAACTCACTGTTGTCTTTTTTTTGTTTATTGCTGAAACCATGGTACAGTACTTCAAAACCGAGCCATTTGCTTGTGATCCATCTAGCCTCCCGAAGTACCCTCCCAGCAAAGAGATTGATGCTAAAATCCGCGATGAAGCAAGAAAGCAGCGTCCAACTCGGGAGAAAAACGAAAGACAAGATTCTCAGACGAGACGATCGAAAGAAACTAAAGCTGCTCCACCAGTTAAAGCTATTCCATCTCTTACAACGACGATACAGGTAACCCAGTAGTAACACTCTCATAAATTTCTATTGCTTCTTCCCTGCTCAGGCAAGAAATTCTGGTGTGTTTGATATCTGAAATTAAAATAAATCGATTGCTGGAAATACAGAAGCATTATCCAGAACCGAAGAGCAGGAAT